ATACGCTTTAGTAAGCTTATCGAACATAATTACATATCTCATAATGCAGCCTAATCGGCTTCATGTGATCGGATACGCTTTGTACAACACCTTTCTCGAACACCCATATAGTACACCAGTATTTTATTTAAATCATAAAATAATACCAAGTTAGAACTCGTATAGTTTACGATTTGTCGTATTAATCGAACAGTAGTACCAAATTATAGTGATGGTAAATTGGTAATAATAAGGGAGACTTACCAAAGAGCTTGAGTTCTCCATCTTCAAGTGCTGGTACTTGACCAAAAGGCTGTATAACCAACCATTCATGGGAATTAACTCATCATATATAGCAAGATAATTAAATTTTGTAAAAAAAAATAACCAAATATAATATTCAAAATTGAGGATAAAAATAAATAAATAAATAAAATGAGGTGAGAAAAAAATTTGCAATTTACATTGATTGAAATGAAAGGCTCCTTTTTGTGTTGGCCAGTTGATAAATCAACAAGAACAAACTCATATTGAAGCCCCTTTTCTTCAAGGCACAAAGCAACTCTTCTTGTTGGTACAGAAAGTGGGTGTCCGTACAGTTTTATGGCCATCACTGTATATAATGATAAAATAGCAAACTATGAAGTTCTTGGGGATTTGATCAAGAGCACCAATAATTGTCACAGGTTTCATATATATAGGAAAATGCTAAAGTCTCGTAACGGAACCATTCAGTCGGGGTTTGTAGCCGTTAGATCATCATGTAACTGTCGGAGATAGTTGATTTAACGTTACAAACTCTGACGAAGTGGTTCCGTCCGTAACAGGACCGTAGCATCTTCCATATATATATATAGGGACCGTAAAATAAAAATAAGTCCAACGATGCTATTTTTAATATTACATGCATAGTGCTATCATTTAAGAGAATAGTTTTATACATTGTGTGTGTTGTTATTTTTAATAATATAAATTTGGATTAAAACTAGTATAACGTAAAATTAATCACAACACTACAGAAAATAGAGAGGTTCTCATGTAACATGTGATCTTCTAATAGAAAATTTAAAATTATAAAACCACACTAATTCAAATTATCCATTAATGATCAACAATGGATAAAAATAGAGAAAAAAAAAAATAGTAAATGATGAAAAATCTTATCTAATATTCAATGGTTTCCTTAGAGTTTGATTAGATATGAATTCAACCCAAAAATTTCAATTATTTTTTAATTTTAACAATTTTTTTTTTTTTCAGTACAACTCAATTACTTTTTAACTCAACACAACTATACTCAATATTATCAGTATAATTAAATAATACAAATCCATCATTCTTACACAATACTACAACTTTAATTCATTATTCATCTACTCACATAATTTTAACTAACTATCAATTCACATTATATCTTTCTTACTTTTACATCGAATCAATTTTAATTATTCTATTTTAAATATTATTTTAATATAAACTCAAAATTCTACTAACATCTATCACATTTTTCAAAATTAGCTATGATTAACAAAATATCAATCAAATTAAATCAAATTCATATTCAGTCACACCCTTAGTAAATATTAATTTTTAGATAAAGAAGACATTAATTAAGAAATAGCTATAATTTGTGTGAAAAACCATGGATGACAAATAATACGGAAATAGAAAATATAATTTTGAATGTGATAACAATATGAATAAGTTATATGCAATTCTGACCAA